TTGACTATGAGTCCATCACTTGACACTACAAATCTCTGCAGCCCCCCCCCGAGCCCACTGGGCTCCCCGGCGCGGCAGCAGGCTGCACGGCGGTGGTCTCCCTCGAGCAGGGACACCCCTCAAGGCTGAGAGGCCCCTCACCCGGCATCTGATATCTATAACGAGCTAAGCGACATTTTACAGTAATCCTAAAAGTATATTTTATGCTAACAACATTTTTGTATATATGTATATCTATCTAGATATGGATAGATGGAATAGAGGAGATTTAGATGAGATATCAGGAAGAAACTCTTGGCTGTGCGGGTGGTGATCCCCTGGGGCAGGTTGCCCCGAGAAGCTGTGGCTGCCCCATCCCTGGAGGTGTTCAAGGCCAGGTTGGACGGGGCTTGGAGCAACCTGGGCTGGGGGGAGGTGGCCCTGCCCAGGGCAGGGGGTGGCACTGGGTGGTCTTCACGGTCCCTTCCAACCCAAACCATACTGTGAGTCTACGATATATATCTCCAGCTATAGCTTAATTATTAGAAGTGTAGTAAGTAGTAGAGTGTTTGACCGCTGTCAAATCACCCCTCTGAAATCACTGTTTAATTACTATCCAATGATTGCTTAATCACCATTTGATTACCACTTAATTATCAATCATCAATTAATTATCAGTTGGTTATTATTTAATCATCAGTAAAACCCGTTTAGTTAACCCCACAATGATGACTTCTCTTAATTCACCCGTGACAGCACCTCCACCGGTGACGTCCCCTCCTGACAGACAGAGCCCGGTGGCTTGCTGGCCCCTCTCCCCGGCATTTCTTTCTCCTGCACCTTCCAAGCACTGGCCTACATGGTGCCCGGTACCACCTCGCCCTGCTTCTCTCTCGCCCCGCTGCAGCGTGGCCGTACCCACAACCCGCAGTGCTGCCCACTCCGTTCCTCCCTGCTCCACACCTCCTCCGTGCGGCTGCACGGCCACGACAGCAAAACCTACCTGAGATAGCGGTCACGCCAGTTAGACGCAGGAATTGCAAGTACACAGATGAGGCCGGAGATGACCCCACCGCCTCCTGAGCCTTATCAATGCTGGTGAAGGTTCTCTCCCCCTGTGCTCAGCCTCCACCACAGTCTCTCTCCCTCCGGCTGCTGGGATCCTCTCCTCTGTCACAGCCTTGGTCCACATTAGGCATCAGAAAGGCACAGAGATGCCACCTCCTACGCTGGTCCCTGAGCCACCCCAGCTCCTGCCCGTGTGTGTCCTTTCTGCCCCATTCACCATGTCCAGGCAGAGCCGGCCAACCCAGACGAGGTCCCCTGCTCCGGCCACCGCTCCGGCCAGCTCACACTGGGCAGCGCCGGAGCTCTGCAGGGACACGCAGCAGCCCACTTCCAAGGCAAGGGAACACCAACTCAGCCTCTCCACCCTCTCTGCCGAGCACGGCAAGCAACATTCGGAAAATGACAGTCAGTCATCCAAGGAGATGGAGATGCCACAAATGCTTCCTAGAGGCTGGCGCAGGCGGCCGAGTGTCCCTACCCGGTGCCAATTTACCCCAACTTCACTTGGATTATACACCCCCGAAACAGCCGTAGGAGAAAAGACATAGCAGATTTGCTTAGGAAATAAAGTTAACGTCCAGCTCTTTGTAGATTTTACTCTCATGGCCTGAAACTTTCAAAACCTCTGCTTGCCAGCGCGGAGCACACGTCCACCAGGAGCAGCCCACGGGGAAAACAACCGTGCTTTCAGCTTGGATGGACGGACACCGTGGGGACAGCCGTGGGGAAAGGGCAAGCACGAGGCAGACCTGAGCACAACGGGCAGCGCTGGCTACGCTTCCAAAGCAACTGCTGCCGGCCCTGGAGAGCACCCGTAAAATGGCAGCTGGGTGGAAGACCGGAGGAAAATCTTCCCATCGGTTTTAACTGACTCTGCTCAACTGCTGAAAGGCCAAAGTGGCCTCCAAGCCGGAGACGGCTGCGCAGAGCGGAGCAGACGCGGGGCCAGGCTTGGCTGGGCTGCACAGCAGGCTACGCCACGGCCCACCAGCGCCCTGCCTGCGCCCACGGGCAGCCCGGCACGGGAGAGGAAAAAGCATCAGAGAAGCCAAATGTTTGAGCCAGGCCCTTCCTAAAGCAAGGTTGGAACTAGACGATCTTTAAGGTCCCTTCCAACCTAAACCATTCTATGAGCCTACGATAAGGGAATATGCTGGCTGGTAGCTACCGTAGCATGGTGGCTCACCAGGTCTCAACCTTCCATGGCTTCTCAATGAGCTGCCAGGACGTGCTGGCACCGCCTGGGAAAACCACCTTAAATCACCATTGATAAAAATAAAACCCCGGCCTGGCCTAACATCTCCCCAACACACCCCCATTCCCTGAGCTGCCCACCAGGCTCTGGTGCGGTGACCCACAGGATTAAATTCTGCCAAAAGCTGTCCCAAGAAGATGCACCTTGTGGGTCCACCTTCCTTTAAGAGAAGACCCTGAGCTGAGGGAGCCCAGCAGGCGGAGCCCAGCAGCAAGTACTCCTGGAAGAGGCCTCACCAGTGGTCTCACAGCCTCTTCCCACCGGGAGAACTTACCTTGGAACAAAAGACAGCTCCAAACGGAGAGAGTGCTCCCACCCCAGTCATCATAAGCAATCTCAGTAAGCAGGAAAGAAGAGGAGCACTGTGGCTCAAAGCAGAAGCATAACCAGAATCAGACTCTCCACCTAACTTATCAGGTATAAAACAGAACGTCAGCTCCTCCTTTAGCTACTACGTAAGGTTTGACTCAGTGGGATTTGGAAAGAAAGTCCCAGAAGTGCGGTCTCATGAGGAGATCACAGCTGGAAACTTCCTAGGAATACAGATTCATTTAGAGTTTTCCAACGTTGTGGAGGATCAATCATCTCCTTTTTTACCAGAAGGCCACCAGCCATGTATTATCCAACTCTACAGGTTTTTCCCAGGTTGCAGCTATGTGAGAAGGTGGCCTACATATCCCCAACCGAGCAGAGATCCCAGATCACCTGTCAACTGTCAACTTTGCCCAGATTTACTTGTGATGTTAAATAATCTTAAAGGTGAAAGATGACTTCTGGCTTTGGTGGGATAGATTTGTTTTCCAAGTGTGTAATAAGGAGCTCAACACCCGAGAAAAACACAGAACCACAGGAAGAGTCACATGAGAGGGAGGGGATGCCGACCAGGGGGACCTGGGCTGGAGAAGTGGGCCCACGTGAACCTCATGAGGTTCAACAAGGCCAAGTGCAGAGTTCTGCAAGTTGCAACTTGCAGATGAGACCTACGGAGAGAGGCTTCATCAGCTACTTGATGCCCTTTTTTCTGTTGGTTAATGTTACACATGCATTGGAGTAGCAACGCGCCACCATTTCACTAAAGATTAATGTTGACATTCCTCTTGCAGGAAGAGCAGTTTGGGTGACATGCCTTCTTCCCTCAACCCCATCTTTGTCACCACCTTTAAATCCTGTATTTTACGAGCAATGTCGCTGCACGGGATAAATACGCAAATATGAGAACATCCTCCCTCAAGTTTTCCAGGCTGTCCAGCTGCAATGATTTCCACTTTAAGTCTATCAATAAAAATGTGATAAAACTGATCTCTGACAATACTTAGGGTTTGTCGGGGTTTTTTTTAACATCTCTCTAGAAATCCCTCTTGCTTTAACATTAAAACCAGCAGAAAACAGATCAGTAATTATTATTATCGTGCACAACTTGAATCAGCATACAGATGTCAATGTACTGCTACTACTAACGTAAACGCCACGAGAAAATGTATTACCTGTAACACAAGAGACGACTGAGTAATTCCCATCTTATACTGTGAATTAAGGTGGTGTTACCCACGCAAGCATCGTGCAAACTTAACATCAATACCCTGACAAGAAAGAGACCGTGCTGGAGGATCTAACACAATAAAAAATTACCAACCTCTGCTTGTTTGCACCACACGCTGATGTTCTTACGCTGAGCTTTCGTGAAATGGTCCCAAGCCTTTTGTTTGGAGGCAGAATGGTACACGGCCACTATCTGCTCGACTGTAGTATCAAATCAGCAGTCAAATCAGGCCAGAATATCATCCAGAGAGGGCGAACAAGAGGAGTAAAGGAGTAAAAAAGTGGAATCAGGCAGGTGGTTTGGCTAACCTTTTCTTATAACACTGTACTGTGCTGAAGCTATGCTCAGGAAAGGGACTCTGTGCCTGGAAAGAAAAGCGTGAACTTCGCCAGGCCAGTGTCTAATGCCCACAGAGCAACCATCAACCGGGGAAACGGCAGCTGCTCTCAGCTGGAAAAAGGGCAGGCACACGCTGCGCTGAAAAACATTCAAATACGCCGCGCGACGCTGCCTATGAGTGTAGCAGGTACACCCGGGTAGCACTCGCTCTCTAAAATGGGAAGGTTACGTACGACTGTGAACGTTGGCACTTTGGATGCTCCTCTGCCCAGCGGGCACAGTCCCACGGAAGGGGCCACGGCCCGAGCACGACCGCATCGCACCCGGGCGGGCGACAGAAAAGGCATTCCGGCCTCAGCCGTCACCTTGTTGTGTTCCTGAGATTTATTCCTTCTATTTCTCTAGAAAATTTGCGGAGGTTTTTGGAAATACAAAGCGCCTCTCCTGCATGAGAACTCACCCAACGGCAGAAAGCACATCGACCTGATTATTTTAATTTTTTTTACGCTTGTGATGTTGTAGTAAGTATAATTCTTACAAAATAAAATCAACTTTCTGCTACTTAGATTAACTTAAGAGTGGTGGAGATACCAGTGGGTCTTTTACAGAGCGGAGCTGCGTGCTACTGCCTATTACTACTTCCTCTGCAGCGCTTACTGTGTTTCCCTCTGGATGATGTGCCCATATTTTTTACCATGAACACAATTTAATAAAAAAACAATTTAAAAATCAAGTATCAAACAAGTAACAGCAAAAATTATTGAATAAAAAACCAAAAGTTAAGAATGTTCACAACCCAGCCAAGGGGCTCAAGGGGACTTCATACAACTGCGGAGAAGGTACTCTGAAAGGTATTCTTAGTAGAAAAAAGTGAAAAAAATAATAATATTCAGACTTACTAAAGAAAGGATGTGTAAGAGGCAATGAGTGGTTTAAGGAACTGTTGTAAATTACGTCTTGGAACTTGTATAGCCCACGCCTCTTCCTTGATTTCATGGTTTAATAAAGCACTGGGATTTGAAAGACCCAGGTTCGAAATGCTGTTTTGCAACAGGTTTCAGTTGTGACGGAGAACAGGGTGTCGGGAACACTCTGCCGCATCCTACCTTTGGCGAATAAATCCTGTACACTTCGCTGAGGCACCAGATTACCAGGAACTTACCTTGTCTGTGCAAGTGGAGTTGAAAAGATGACAGAACTACTAATAGACTATAATTAAAAGAGGAAAAAAATTAAGAATCCATTGTCTCCTCCCCCCAAGATGTGGACTCTTACTTCAGTAACAAGTACCACATGAAACTTTTGCCAAGTTGATGATACATGCTTATAAATCAACTGCAGCTGCACAGAAGCGATTGCTACTGCTTTTCCTGGAGTCCTTTTACCGTGGCCACTCCAGACTCTAGAAATTAAGCGTCTTCCCTACAACAGCAGACAACCAACATTCACCGCGGAAACACTACTCACACTGAACCAGAATCCCTGAGAGAGCGAGTTTGAATTTCTCTTTAGCTTCTTCCATCTCTTTCTCGTGAGCTGCTTTCTCGTTCACCAGTCTGCGAATGTGGCTGTTGGCCGACTGGATCATGGAGTAGAAGTTGTTGGCGGTCCTCCTGTTCACTTCTCCGCGCTCTATCCAGGTCAGCAAGGTCTGGATGGCCTCCAAGAATTTTGTGTCATCTGCAGCAAGAAAGGACCCCTTTACACCACAGAAGTAAGCTTTCAGACCCTTCCCCTGGCACTGCTGACCTCTTCTCTTTCGAAGGTCAACTCACTTCAGGCGGCTAATCACAGTTATGAAAGCGTGGTATTATCTGAATCCAAGGCTATAGAAAGGCTTACAAAGGCAAGTCTAGCATCAAGCTGATGGAGCAAACCATCTCTTGAGGTGTAACAAGAGGAGGACTAACCGCTAGAAACCTGCTGGAAAACTTCACGTGCCTATTCAGATGTGCTCTTTCGTGGAAGAAAATATCCTCCAGCTCCAAAATAATCAGGCCACACATGGGTCTTCAGCTTCAAAGGGAGCCTTAGGACTTACGCTAGTCCTTTTAACATGAACAAAAATGGTTTGGAAGAAACTGTTGTACTCAAGTATGGTATTGTTTTTACAAAAAGACAAGCAATTCTGAAACAGAGACGGCCGGGAGAGCTGCTGCGTGCAGGCGGAGGGCTCGGTCTGACCGGGCTCTGCAAGGTCTAGATGGCACCATCATTTCAGTTCAGCGAGACAACCACTGGAGAACACAAGTCTCTGTCCCAGCATCTGCACAGAAGGGTGGCCGTGTCCCGCAGAACAGCTTACCTTTCAGCTTCTCAGCGACAACGCTGCACTCGTGGTCAGAGTAATGGACGACGGGAGGTGGGGAGGGCGGGCGGAAGCGCTCCTCTTCCAGCCTCCTGCGGTGGCGCTCCTCTCTCGCCAGCATCCGCTGCTTACATTCCCACTCGTACAGATCATCCCGAGCCTGTGCAAAATCCACATGCAGGCGCCCGGTATCCTTCTTGTCAGTGCTGGAGCCCAGCCTGATGCGATAGCCTGGCAGTGATGACAGCAGTGTTCAGACGGGACAGATGAGGTACCTCAGGCTCCAACCACCCACCAGCGCCCGTCTCTCAATCCTACAGAGACAGAAAGTCCCTGAACAGAAGACTTTAGTGCACAGAAAGTGATGCTGGAAGAGGAAACACTGTTAGGGGGTTTGCGGCTCTCTGCCTGTGTTTTGTACATCCTAGGCAAGATCTTACACGGGCTGTTCCTCCCCTAAACCCTAGCAGGTACTGGCTCTCCTCTACACACTGGCAGGCACTGGGTCTCGAAGAGCCACTGTTTAATTGCACGGAACCTCTGAGGCTGCGGCTCTACGCCCAGCTATTCACACGGGGAAGGCAGAACCGCCTTGGTTTTTCCCCACTTTCACAAACTCCTGAAGGTGGGGATGGGGAAGGGGGAATCAGAGGCGAGGCACGGCAAAGAGGGCCGCAGGTGGATGGCGGTAATCTTTGGAACAGCCCCCATCATCCGGTGGGAGCGGGGATAAGGTCAGCAAACGTGCACGCCCACCATGTGGGAGCTCTTCTCACCACCAGGAAAGTTTGCGGGACTCCTTTTCTGGACGCACAAACATGCTAGAAGGCTCTCCTCTGCGGTTAAGAAAAGCACAGGTGAGATGTAGGGAAGAAAATCTGAACTAGAGAGAGACTTTGTACAGAGAGCAAGCCCGGGAACAACGCTTGTGTGCGGAGGACACTGGTGACTCTGCACATAACCATGGGTTGGGGCAGGAGGAACTATAAGCAGAGAATGCCTGCAGCTAAAGAGGCCGTATCAGCTATGTAGAAGGGGTAACCGCAAAGAGACACAACTCTTCCTGAGGGGGCATTGCAAGTCTAACTCAATTCAACCGGCTCTGGAATGAGACACGATGCTTACAATCAGTCAAAACAGACTGCAGAGAAGTTTCCGTTATTTTAAACAGCAAAGAGCATTTCCCTCACTTATCTTGACTATCTCATCTCTCTGGAGATAATACGGCCCGTGGAGGCAGTGCCCTGGTTTGGTAATATACTGAAAGAATGAATTTGGAAGGGATTTTAGCACGGAAATAGAGAGTATTACTGTATTTTTCTAGAATGGTGAAGAGTCAGGCTGCTCAGGGCAAATCTAACGAGCAGAGCAAACGTGGGTTTGGCCGGGAACGCACAATCTGGCAGCCACACAGCGCCTGGGAACAGCAGCCGTGATGTCTCCGTCCCCGAAACAAACCTCTGCAAACCCCACGGGCGCAGAACAGGGGTAAAGGCTGCCCAGGTGCTTCAGGTCTGATGAATGACAGGGAAAAAAATATTGATGAAAGTAAAGCACAGCATCCAACGAACTGAGAGCAACTGCAAATTTTTATAGGACCCTTAAGCATTATCTACAGAATCAGCCAGACATTTATCCAGGTAGGATGGGGATGGACTCTGATTGTACTTCATCCCAATATCCCGCAGCGGTCTGCAGTACCCAAGGTATCTTCCCTCTCGGGAGCCGTTTTCATGTATTTAAACAGAAATGCAATAGCAGCAGAAAAAGAGGTGAACGGACACAACATCAGACAAATCTTCCGATTGCCACAAGGCCTATCGTTACAGCTATAAATTATATCTCTGTCCCAGAATTTAAGCTGCCGTCCCGGTGAGAAACACACCTACCAGAAAGATAAAGCGCCTTGTCCACCATGAACTCCTCAGCAAAGCGGATATGACAGAAATTCTTCTTACTCTTCCGAATAGCTATGACTTCCCCGCACTGTTCAAACACTTCCATAATGATCTGCTCTGTTCCGTTTTCCGGTAATCCTCCAACAAACACTGTCTTACACCCTGGGGGCCTCTCTCTTGTTGCTGGAGGGGGAAGATCTGAAGAGAGCACGAGAGAGAAAGCAGACCAGGTTAGTTTTTGGTTTGTCAGCACACGTTCCTTTCATCTGCCCACCCCTCCCACGAGACGACCGTACCCTCCTGGCTCCCTTCAAACGTACACCTTCCTACGCTGCGTTCCACTTTCCCGAGCAGTCTCCTCTAGCGCTGCTGAGGTGCTCTACGGGAATAAGCACATTTACCGGTCTGTTTGCAAACAAAAGACCTCAGGAGCCCGAAGCCCTCCCCACGCTCTCCCCGGCACAGCAAAGGCCCCCTGAGCTCCTGTCGCAGAACACGAGCAGCCCCAGCGCCTCAAAACTCTGTCACAGGAGGTGCTACAGCTTAAAGGACTGTCCTAACGTAAAGAATATGTAGAGAACATATACAGAGGATCACTAAGGGCAAAAAGCAGTCTGTAAAGGGCACAAAAGTATTAAAGCTGAGGGAAGGTCCTGAATCAAATTTAGACTAAAAAGATATTATGGAAGAGATGAAGGAAAGAGGTAGAGCCAAGAGGTGTAGAAGGAATTAATGCTGGGTGGGTTTTTTTAACTTGTATGGCTAAAATGAACCACAGAACATAAAAGCAGGCTGAAAGTTAAGTCTGTTTGCCAGACACAGGTTGCCGAGTACGCGCACGTACCCTCCTCTCACCCTGCGGCACACGAGAGAGAGCGCGTGAGACTGCTGTGACTTGGAGAAGTGTTTCTCCAGCACCCAACTCATTTCCACGCTCAGGTGCCCACCAGGCAAGTGCAGCGAGACCCTGCCAGCTCAGTACGCGAAGGCTGAGAAGCATTACGTGCTTGTTGCCTGCTGTTCCTTACAGAATCACAGAGTCACAGACTGGTCAGGGTTGGAAGGGACCTCTGGAGACCATCTAGTCCAACCCCCACCAGAGCAGGGTCACCTACAGCACGTTACACAGGACGGCGTCCAGGCGGGTTTTGAATGTCTCCAGAGTGGGAGACTCCACCACCTCTCTGGGCAGCCTGTGCCACTGCTCCACTACCCTCAAAGTAAAGAAGTTCCTTCTCATGTTAAGATGGAACTTCCTATGTTCAAGTTTATGCCCATCACCCCTCGTCCTATCACTGGGCGCCACTGAAAAAAGACTGCTCCCATCCCCCTGGCATCCTCCCATTAAGTATTTGTATGTATTAATAAGATCCCCCCTCAATCTTCTTTTCTCTAGACTAAAGAGACCCTAAATCCTTAATATCTGGAAAATCCCAAACGAATTTCAGTGCTGAGATCCACCGCCCCTGGTTAAGTTCACAGAATTACACCACTTAGATATTTATTTAACAAGATAGTTGTACTACATTCTTTTAATTCTTTGGCTTATTTCCAGCAAAGTTCTTCCAAAAGCAATTATTAGGATTATTTTCTTCTTGTTTGGAAATGGTTCCTTTTGGTTCCCAAATCGAGCCTGACCACTGACTCCCTACAGCCTTATGAAACAACATCCTTAACCTTCTTCTCGGCACACACCAGACCTTCTGTGCCAACAACTCCTTCTAACATCCTACTCCCACTTCACAAGACGAGAAGCTGCAAGACAGCGCCCGGGCAGGGGCTCGCCCAGTCCAATACCAGTTTGTACCCAGGGCCTCCAGGAAGGACTCGTACGCTCGACGAGGCGCTGAGGTTCCCCTCTCAGGACAACACCGACCACAGCTGCTAGTTTTTCGCTGAAAACCAAGTGTAACCACCTTTCCACTACACCTTCATCACCTTATCAAACGTTCCCTCTGTCCACTTCGTCATCAGTATTAATTTCTCTTGGAAACTTCCTAAATTACTCGATCCCACCTCAACAGCAATCTCCCCAGGCTAACTTTGGTATTGAACACAGTTTTGCACAGACCGTATCTCAGATCAAAAGATAGACCTTAGGTCTGTCACAAGTACATGAAACACAAGGCAACAGCTGTAACAGAGGGCGCTGAACCCACTCATTTACAGCCAGAGATCGGGTGCGGGTTTCGAGGTCTCGGTGTTTTCGAGCTCGCCGGGTGCGGGGGTGAGGAGGAGCGAGACCCGGGCACTTGGCCCACGCTGCCCAACAGGGTTCGTTCATGCCACGAGCGGCACATCCCATATCAATTCGGAAGTTTGCTGAGGAGCTCTCTCCCCCGTGACGGCTGCCATCCCGAGAACTCCTCGCCCCGGTGCCGCAGCCCTCAGCCCGTCCCTTCCTCCCGAAGCCGCAGCGCTCGCAGGGTCCCACATGGGCTGTCACTGCGGGGAGCGCACGGCTCCTACCGACGGAGTGGGCTGAGGGGAATCCCTCTGGGTTTTACATTGGTATCGGGGTCAATATCGGTTCTTTAGTGTCATTAATGTTAATTATTGGGTCTTATCCTGTTAAATCTGTTTATATTTCAACCCTCAGGTTTCCTTGTTTTTTCCCAATTCCCCTTCCCGGGTGGGGAGGGGTCATCAGGTGAGAGAATAATTGTCTAAACAACAATAAATTGTTGTGGGTTCCTCAAACTGTAACAGAGTTCTTTTCTTTTAACATTTTCTGCCAGATTGGCTCAGATGAAGCAAAATTCCTCCCCCCCGGCAAATACCCCTGACAGATATTTGCCAGGAATTAACATTTCAGACTGCATCCGTTCGCAGGGCCAGACTGAAGGAGGGATTAAAGCAGCAGGAGAACCAGAAGAGGACAAAAGCCCCAGGGAAACAGGACCGAGCACGTCTCCCGCAGCCGAGGACAGAACCGCACGGGTCTGGATGAAGCCAAGAGCCAGTTTGTCACAAAAAGGGGAGAGAAAAGGTCTTCAAAGCAGAGAAACCACCACTGGAAGGGATTCGCAGCAGAAAGAGACGCCGGCAGCCCCGATGGAGGGGAAAGGGAGAGTACAGAGAGCGCACACGCGGGAGAAGGGGCGCAGGAGGAGACGCGCCAGGAGCACCCCGGGGGGAGTCCAGTCTACGTCGCGTACGCAGACCTTCGGCTGAAAAACCACCATGAGTGTGGCTAGAAGAAATGTGGGAGGAACACGCACCTCAAAAGCAGCATCTGAGTATTTCTGTGACGGTTACTTGTTTGCCAGCATGAGGAGACGCACAATTTTATTACAGGTTCAGAGGCCAGGAAGGGACTAACGGTGCATCTTCCTTCTAACGCAGCACTCAAATTCTTGAACTGGCTTGCCCACGAGTATTTGATTTGGAAAAAAAAAAACCCAAAAAACCACAGACACAAAAAACCACCCCAACTGTTTCCAGGACAGTAAGACAGGTTTTCTTCTGTGGACGGTGAACTAAGAGATAAATAATCAGACCGAACATTGCAAGGGTTTTATTTAAAACGCGGGGCACAGGAGCACCCGACTCCCGCTGCCGGGAGCCCCCCAGGCCCGGGGGCCATCTGCTGGCACCTTCTATTGAATTATATATAGACACGCAGTTACGAACATCTCCGGCAACTTCTCCACATAACAAAAGAATCTTTCCAGTGAAGAGCACTGCTTCTGAAAAAAAAAAAAAAGTCTTTTTTTTTCCGTTGGTAATTTCAAGACTGTCCTGTGCTGACAGAGACCCACAGACCTCTGCGGGGCCCCGACAGCGCGGCTGGGCCGTGCAGGCGCTGCAGGGAGAAGCGCGCTTTGATGGCACTTACACCCCTACCTTCCCCAGTTTGTAAGTTCTGTCCATTTTATACTGGAGAATCTTTCATCAAGGCTTTACGGGGTGGAACGCTTCTCACCCTCTGCTTGTCTGGCAGTAAGCACAGCTCACAGGATCTGACTTCTTCTTCTCTGAAGATAACAAGCCCAGCAAAGCCCTGTTTGTCGGCAGAGCTCTGGCCAGTAGGACACAGAGGTCTTGGGAACACCAAGCCCCAGGGAGTGACTGCTGCCAAGCTGCCTGCGTTAACGCGAGACCTGCTGCCCGGCTCTGCCATACGCTGGAGAGAGCGGATGAGGGGACCGTGACTCTGTGCAGCTCCTGCTCATCCCACTAAGTGTGGACCGAGTCAGGGGTGTCCTGCTCCATTCGCCGGGGGACAAATGGGCCATCAAAAGCTGTTAACTCCTTTCCCAAGTCTGCCTGGGAAGTACATCTTGTGCGGAGGAACCCAGCCCCAGGACAAGCAAGGCTTTCGACACCGTCTCCCACCTCATCCTCCCAGGCAGCTCAGGCAGTGCGGGTTGGATGAATGGACAGTGGGTGGCTGAAGAGTGGGTGGCAGATGGAGCTCAGAGGGTTGTGGTTAGTGGCGCAGAGTCTGGTTGGAGGTCAGTAACAAGTGGTGTCCCTCAGAGGTCAGTACTGGGTCCAGTCCTGTTCAACATATTCATCGATGATCTGGATGAAGGGATAGAGTGTACCATCAGTGAGTTTGCTGATGACACAAAACTGGGAGGAGTGGCTGACACGCCAGAAGGCTGTGCTGCC